ACTAATCGATAATTATACGTGCTCGTCGGTAGTTAAGATCAAAAAATAAATAGATAAGGTTGATGATTAATGGCATTTTCAGGATTTTGAATGCTGTGACGTGGAATATGTTCATTGCACGAACTAGCTCTGTTTTTTTCTTTCCACATTCATCGTCTAGTGTTTGTAGATCATAATCAAATGCAATAAAACTAAAAATAGCAAGTACAAGTTAGCGAGTTTGTTCGTTCATATTCAAATGAGTTTTAGTTGGATCATCTATTTGACGCCATCGAGCTAACAATTTGTCTGTACAATCGATAATTATATCTAAATGCATGAGAACTTTGCTACCACGAAACAATGGATTTGTGGCACTTGTGCAACGCTTGTATTTAGCTCCTATAAGGCAAATCATTTTTATATTTGTTGAAGACCAAGATGGAGAGAGTGAGATAAGTCTTTACCCTTTCTTAGGTTAAATAAAAAGGATGGTTTATCTATTCTTCTAACTTTTTAAGCAAAAGATTTCACTTGGATTGAGAAGACTGAGCTTTTGGATTAAGAGATCTACTTGATCGTATACATGTCGATTGGCAAAAATGTGTTGTGCATCTTCGAGAGAACTAATGACAATGATATGTGTAGAACTGAACCAACATTGAAAAACATCGCAGAATTGGGTTTTGAGCTTGAGATATACATTTGGTTTCGATTTGCCTAGCCAAATGATGTCTGTCTGTAGTAAATTGCCGAAAAAAATTGAGGTAGAATACCAGGTATTGGGCCACGTAATGTTAAATAAGCATATTTTATACAGTAGTGTATAACTGTTATAAACAAGACGACGATGACGACTGTAAACGATAATATACTCTTCTTTGCTTTACTTTTTGTGAATAGATTGTCCACCAACCACACATACACACCAGAAGCGACTAAATCATGCTTCAGCCTTCTTTGTTCTTTTTTCTATTTATCTGCAGAACTCAAGAAACAGCATATCAGCGCAATCTACGCAAGTAAAAGCGGGTTTGATAAAAAAATCTCTCTTTCTTTCTTTTTATCTCAACTTTCAGTATTTCGAACAGGCAATCTCTTTTTGTGACCTCTGAGGATGTGAATGTCGGATGTGAAATAAATTCCCATATCCACACCACCAAAAAGACCACATAAAAGTTTATGGAAACAAAGTTGCCTCAATGATATGCTTTGTTTAGGCTAGGATCGCAGTTGCGTTAACAGTTCAATCGTTTCAACTACGGCAGTATCATCTATTAGTAGCAAAGCTCTAAATAGATAATGGACATGAAATACGAAAGAGATGTCTCAGGTGCAAATAATTGAACTCGTTTTCTATTGTCAATTTTATATGAAATTTGACAAACCAATCGTATATGCAATGGGTAAGTGAGTGTGAGTGGAGCTACCATGACCGATTTCATTCTAGCTTAGAAAATTTCAAAGGAGTTGTAGATGGCCTAACCTCTTGATATAGGAAAAATATAGTGTTGTATTTTAACAGCTTTGTTTGGGAAATTTTGTTATTGATTTCTGTGGTTACGATTCGATCTCCTGAGTTTACTATAAGTATATTGTGAAGTAGATAATGTATTGAATATTGATAAGGTATTGCAGGAAAGTAATATTACCGAGTAGAAGTTTAAATTCTTTGTCAAAGTTTTCAAAGTTGAGTTTTTCAGAGAAGTATACAATCTGTAGATGTTTTTGTAGTTATTGACTCATACATCATAGAGTAGCACAGTTAGTGAAATCGAATATTACTAAATTAATGTTTTTCCACCAGATAAGATAGGACCAACCAATGTTTAATGTGATAAGACAGAAGTTATCGATCAAAATAAATGAAATCATTATCTACGATAGAAAAAAGGTGTGAGTGTGAGCCCGGGCGTGAGGATGTAGGTGTATCGGTAGGAGAAGACCCACACCCATACCGGGTAGGGGTGCACCAGTGCCAGTAACTGGGTCCCAGCCACGACTGACCACTTAGTCATTTGACGTTTATTCCGCTAATCGATCAGTACTTCCCTCTTTTCTAAGGATGTGGGTGTGGGGGTGGATTTGATGTTGGTATGGGTGTCGTTATTGTCATGCTAACTATTCTCACATACAAACAACATCCACTCCCACATCCATCCAAAACACCCACACCTACACCATTGCCACACCCACACCATGAAGACATGAAAATTTATTTATAGTATCTTAAATTATAACGATTGATATATAGATATATATGATTAACCAATGGATTCAGTGTTATAGTTTATATCAGTACTTCAACAGTCTAAGAATCACTGTATGACAATATACTAGAAAAGAAGAAAGTACTACTCGACTAATGGACTAAAGATCAAGGGACTCAATACCCAGTCCGGCTGGGACCCAGTTCACCAGTCAGAACTGGGACTGGTGCATCTCTACCCATACCCACACCGACACCGACACCCACACCTACACCCACACCCTATAATTCGAATGATTATCTTTCCACCTCCTAATGTTGAACAAATAAACTTGTCTATTCAATCGCACGAAAACTATAGAGTTCTTTTAATTTTTAAGCATATTTTCTTACTTTTCATCTAAATTTCAAATGAATGGCAGACCGTTTTTTATACATTTTTTCGATGTTTTGTAGAAATGACTGATTTTTAAATGATTTCGTCCCATACAATATTGGAGAAAAAGGCGTCCCCTTGTCTTCTCTTTCGAATGGCGAAAACCGCAGGGCTCTAGCTATCTTCGTTCAAAAGTTATAAGCATTTTGCTCGATAGCCTTTTTTTTAAATTCCGATAATAGTCCCAGAGCTCGTAGTAAGATAAATCCGTGAGTATTCAACCACATTCTGGAAAAAAGTCTTTTTAGTTAGTGAGCAATCGGAAAAACACCTTTAGCCGAAAAAATAGGTCGACTTGAATCGAGAAAGGTGTGGGTATCGGTGTCGGTGTTGTTCTTTCCACAATCATACTCAACCAGCACCCATCATTTATTACGCTGAATTTTGATAATATTTTTAAACATAGTCTTATGGCTTCCCATCAGTATACTTAGTCATTTTGATTACTTCACTCGAACACTATGTAGAGCAAGACTCGATTCTATCCCTGTAACAACTCGAGTGCAAGGAAAGAGTCGATAAACAGTGTAATAAAACTTCAATAAACACTTGAAACTTAATATTGGAAACTGTTTGTCAACTCTTTTTTACTGAAACTGGTATAATATCATTTCAGAACAATAAAAAAAAATATATAGTGACATGTAAAGAATAATTATGTCCAAGCAGGAGCATGCAATTTCAAGCTTCTAATGGTTCCTTCCTAATCTGCAGAGACCATCTCCCAATTATTGAACGAGACTGAAAACTTTTTACCGGGCTAGTTGGATATGAAAACAGAAAAAATTTCACAAAAAAAGCTTTTGAAGTTCTTCTTGATTGATGAGAAGACCCGGATCTTGTAATATGTTTTTCAAACTTTTTTCCAAGGAGGGTCTTCTAATATAGGGGAAGGGAAGAGTTAATTAATGTGCATATCAATTGAGCTTTATCTATACATATACATTGAGATATTTGTAATTATATTAATCTTAACGACGTATGTGTCCGAATTCGAGCTTAATTAGATTCATCTTTTACTCATTCTCCAATCGCAAGAAAAAAAGTGATTTTTCTCTCAATAAAAATCAGGTATAAATATGAATAGTTTTCTATATAAAACTATTCCTTGCTTGAATCAAATAATAATTTTTTGTTTTTATATTTTAGATTGACTTCAAGGATACAATACTAAACAGCATAATACCAAACAAGACAATAAAAAAGTAGGTATTTGCTTTATTCTTTTTTATTTATTTACTTTTTTTCTTTTGAATCATATGGAGGGCGGTAAGTCCTCCTGTGATCCGTTTTATCTTTTTGGTAATTTTAGGAAATGAACAATAAGGAAAATGTATCAGAGCGTATATTATCTAATCCTTTTTCATCGTTTTATTTTTTTTTCTTTTTCATTTAGCCGTCAATATCATCATGTCGTCTTTATCAACATTGGTCAATATTCGACGTAGTGAGTAATCATTTCTTACTTTTGTTTTAGATAAGAATAGGGTTAGACTTAGCAAAGTGAGCGTCAGTGAGGGGAGGATGGAATGAATCATGTCTATTGATGTTAGCCTCTGTTATCGGAAGGACGTCCGCGTAGTCCCTAAAAGTTCGGTCAGGAACTGTCTGAGTGTCCCGTGCGTGTATGAGTTTCATGGTCGCCACAGCTCCATCAGGATGATTCCTGATTGCGCGCGTGTACGAATAGATTAGCCATTAATTCTTTTTCATTGAATAGCGATGTATTTGTGAAAGAAACAGAACAAAAAAAATAATATTAATAATCGTTCTGAGTTCACTTGATTTGAAATTTTTGTACTCGATGATTTCCCCAGTCCACGACATAGAGATTACCGTGCCGATCGAATGACAAACCGACGGGCCCACTAAGTTGGTTCGATCCGCTTTCTATATTGTTTCCACCAATAATGATACTTCCCTGTGTGGCTGCTTTAGGCCAACGCATGATTCGATTGTTCCCGTCATCAACCACATAGACAGTGTCAAATTGATCAACAACGACTCCTTTAGGAATTACCAATTGTCTAAGATCATTTCCGGATCCTGCACTACCAGCGACGATAATGCCTAACTTTTCACCTTCTGCCCATTTCATTGTACGATTATTGTTCCTCTCACATACGTAAACCGAATAATGTCGATCGACAAATATGTAGCGGGGTCCGTCGAATTGATTGAGAAGATTTCCTCGTCCATTACCACCTGCAACCACTGTTCCTTCAGCGTCACCAATTTTATATCGTCTCACTGCATTGTTAGCATCGTCAACGACATAGAGAGATCCATACTCGTCCATTGTCAAACCCCAACAACCAATGTTGGAGATGATTGTTTCTCCACTTGTTCCATCTAGACGAGGCCATCGAACCACTCTTTTATTCGAAGAATCACAGATGATGAGATAATCTCTCTCTTTGTCGACAATTACATCATATGGATAAGACAACTGATTATCTCCATTTCCTTTTCCATTTCCACCGGCAACCACTTGGCCACTCGTCGCACCCGATCCCCATTTCATAATACGATGGTTCTCATAATCAGCAACATAGATTGTTTCATCATCGTCAACATACAAACCCCATGGGAGAGAGAATTGATTGAGTGAATTGCCTTTCCCATTGCCTCCAGCCACAGTGATACCATCCTGTTGCCATTGAGCATTTGGATGAATGTCAATTGAACTTCCACGTAATGGATAGACTGAAATAGAAAAAAAAGAGAGCATGGAATAAGAGCCAAAGAAAAGAGAGAGAGTATAGAGTGAAAGAGCGTAAAGTACATTTGAATTTTCGCAAAACCATTATCATTCCCAGTTTTGGCTCGCATCGATTTTCTTTTTTGATAGTGAAGAGTAGCACTATCAGAAAATTATTTTATTTCTTTTTAGTTTTCTTCATAGTATATGGCATCGTGATATACAGTATATATATATATCTGTATACTAACAAATAGAATTATTGTATTTCGAGTTGAAATTATGTCCATAGACAAGTTTGTTTAAGAATAAAATGTCATAAAAATTTCAATTGAAGCACAATGTTTTGCTTCCTAAAATATTAATGTATACTAAAATCATTCATATTCCGCGAAAGATGCTAGAACTTTCACTTTTTGTGGGCTTTAATATCTCAGCAAGGAAAATTTGTGTTTGCGCTGAAGCTGTCAAAAACATTTTACTTACAAATACATGATCTATCTATAAGTATAATCTTAACTCGACATACTGTCATTCAGTATTTAGATACATATACAATATGATAGACTAAAATTGTAGCAAAATTTCTACAAGTCTGTACAAAATAAATTTAGAGAATTTATCATTTTCAAGATTTTCATATTTTAGTGGAGTTTATATTATGCATCATAGTTCGGACGCAAGAGCGATCGAGCAATTGAAAACGTTTGATAACACAGCCCCGTTGTTACTGATTTCTTCAAATATGTATCTGCGCTATATAAAATGTTTTCTCAATATGTCTCTACGAGTTACTATAACATTTGGTTAATCATATTCAGAAACATTGGAAAATAAACAAATGTTAGAGATTTTAAGAGAGACTTGTAACCACATTAAATATGTAAAGCTAAATGGTCAAATCATGTTTCAATTCAATGCTGTCTCTATTTGTTTCTTGTAATATTCCAATTACGAACTGAATTATATAAATTGAAAATCGGGGTTTTCGTAATAACGCTACGTTCATCTACATTAAGATACAATGTCTTTTAGGAGAAAAAAGTAGTGTATCCAATTCATCTTGAAGAATTAGTTGTAGTCTCTACTTTGTTTACTGATAATCCGTAAGGGGTTCACAGAAATTTTAAAATAAGGTCCTTTTCTTTCTCTCACAAAAATTTTAATTCAGTTTGATTTATAGAGAATATTACAATGTGGAGAAAACGACATAAGTCTTGAATTTTTAGCAAAAAACAAGAAATATCGTTTTTAGTAGTTTACAAAATATTTCTTTGATGCTCTGGATTCGGAGCTAGACACTAAACTGTACAGTTCTTGATTTTATGGTATAAGATACAAAACAAAAAATTACAGAGAGCATTACGGCAATTAATGTTTAAAGTATACATTTTCAAAAATTTATCGATATTTATTTTTTCCTGAATAAAAAAGTATATTTTCTTACACTTTCAAATGTGTTACAAGATTGTTTTGGAATTTTTTGAAATCGAAATAATTAATGTCTGACATAGCATGTTACATCGCCAAGTTAGAAAAAACCGACATAAGTTTAGAAATCGGTTTTCGATTCAAAGCTTGCAAGAAACAAGAAACTATTGAAAACTACTTATTTACAAACTTCTTAGACAAGATTCTCGAAGTATGATTATCGATAGACATCTGCATCGAATTACGAAAAAAACTGAGTTGAAGTCAGAATTGAAACAACATTACTTTTTAGGTATTTAGACTAATGAATAAAATCATGAAACTTCGTGTATAGTGTTCTGACGTCTTCTTCTCAACTAGTGCATTTATATTTTATTTTTAGTATGATGATGCATTTTCCGTATTCGTTATTTATAAGTGACTATCAACTTGATACTTTTAGCAATAATTTGTTCTAAATTTTTAGCATAATAATTTCAATAGAACTCGTTAATCAATTTAGGAAAACCACCACTTTTCTAGGTCCTTATAGACGTTTTTTTTAATGAAAATTTCTCAACAGCAGTATGGTAGCACAGCCTAAAACTTCTTTAATACATGTATAACTATCGGATTACTATGTAAAAGAAAGGTAGTGTGATAGAATATATTCGGGAAGAAGAGATATTGGCGCATCTTTCCATGATGAAAACTCAGTTTTTCATCTTTTCTTAAATCAAGTGTTTTGGAAAGGGTAGGACCTTAATCACAGAATAGGACAAAAAAAATCAGAAACAAGTTTGAACTTTTTGGATGTCACTATAGAATTGAAGTTATTAATTATGTGTAATTTTATCCCTAGTTTGCTATACATTTCTTCAGAATATTTATTGACGCGAAGGGAAAACAATAAAAAACCATAAAATCTCTATTATGCTGTAAGAAATGAATAGAAAGATGAAATATAGACACTATTAGTGATATTCGAGCACGCTTCACACATAACTGCAATATTCGATGAAAACACTAAATCTTCAAAAGACTATGATACAAGTGGTGTAACCAGAAAAAGTCGAGTAATGGAATTCATTCATAAAAATATTTACGATAGTGCCATAAAGATATAGCCATATAATGTGTCTTTTTCATACATGAAGAAAGAATTTTAAAATATATTTATTTCTACAAATAGGCTTTTAGTCGATGAAGGCAAACTTGTTCAAGAATCAGATTAAAATAATTCGTGTTCGTTTATAACCGATTTTCAATCTGGTTCTGGAATGATTCTTGTCTATATGGGTCAGAATGATGTTCCATCCATTTAGGAGAAAAATATTTAAGAGAAAAAAGATAAAAAATTAATTTTAATAAACTTGTATTGTTTTTGTACGAATTATCGTTATGATTCATGAGTTTTTCAAAATTGATTTTGAAATCATGCTGCATTCCTAAAATGTACAACTCACTCAATCTAACATTTAACATTGTACTATGTGTCGCTTATTTAAATCAATTTCATCTTGCATAGCGTTCCCTGATATGTGATAACACATATGCATCCCACACTACATACTCACAGCTACAGTCATATCTAACGAAATCTATGTTCTATATCAGCATCCATGCTCACAAGCGCATGCAATCCTACAACCAATACCTCTCTCCCCATATACGAAATGTATCAGACGCTGAACCAAAATTAATTTACTTACAATAGTAACCAGAAATGCTGTTGCCAGTTGCATTTCCACCAATACCCATACTTTTTTTCAGCGAACAACGTTGACTTAATGGTGAATATGTAAAAGCAATACATCCAGAAGTTGCTTGACATTGCGAACAACAGCTAGCATAATCAGGTTGTTTTATAGGAGAAGATAATATGTTATTTCCAGGTATATCCCAGTTGTCTTTACGTATGAAACTGCCACACATGTTCGCTGTGAGAACATAAATGAAGGAATAAGTTAATAGCACTTACTATGTGGAAGAAAGATTGGAGAAAAAAGTAGCTATATTTACTGTATTCTTGCTCGAATGTGTACTTTCATCTTTCCTATTTTATCGTCACTCAGCTCCTCGTAAATGGTGAATACTAAAAGATTTTCATGAGTGACAAGAATGTGAGAGCTTAGAGTCTTTCTCCCTAATATCTGCGTTGCATTCCATAACGTGTCTTCTCATTTGTGAGCCTCGGATCGATATCGAACAACTACTAGATTCAATTTTAATTTCTTTTCTAATTTGAATCACTAGAATGGAGAAAAATTTTAAGTCTCGAGACTTTCTTGTATAAAATTTGGAAACATTTACATTGAGTTTAAGGGAGCTTCTTTTATGAGGTAACATAGTAAAAAAATTTAAATAAAAGCTTCAAATTTTCGTTTGAATTTTTGAAAAAGTTTGTGACACTAATATTTATTAAGTGCATAACTTCAGTACTACGTTCCACTATCTGCGATTTATAGAGCTTCCTAAATATTAGATTTCATGATTTCTGTTCGATGTACTGTTACATATATAGAGCGTGGTAAACTAATGTTTTTCTTTTTCTTTTTAATTTATTGCAGGTAATATAGTTCGTTAGATGTCATTTTTATTATGAATGTGATGAGCTTTTTTCTTTAAGCTTGAAACTGCGATCAAATATGCATCATAACATGGAATTGAAAATCAAATGGACATAAGTCAATCGACATGCTTGTGCATTTATATACAAAAATCAAAACTAAAGAGACAATGATGTTGCAAAGGCGATGCCCCTAAAATATGAGGTGAGTATGCATCTTGTTTTAACCGTCATCCCTCTTCCTTTTTATCCACTTCACACTCATAATGAATACTCAGTTGACAATAAGAATTGGGATGAAATCTCAGTGAAAATTCGCTTTGGTTTTTATTAAAATTCTTCTTAAATAAGGCCAAAGCCATAGTCATTCCTCGTACACCACAAATTGCTATACATTTCAGCATTTCCACTACATTCAACCAAATTTTATGATCCTAATTTTCTTTATGTCCACAAATCAGAAGCAGTGATCCCGAAAACTTGAAGCAAAATAGTATTCAAAATCTAGTTGTGCAGTGACACAGCTTCCTGAATCTGTCCTTGCTGACTGCAAAGACGCGAGTTTCGTCTCATCCAGAGCTTTTTTCATTTTCTAATCTATTCGTTTCTTTTTCTGCTTCGTCATTTTATTTTTCTTTTCTTGCCGGTTGAATGCTATTTCGCAAAACAAAGATAGAATATTTCATCTTTCATATCACCGAAAGCTAGTTGCAACAAAGAGAGCGAAACACCTAATTTTTTTCTCAAATGGCGTTCCTGCAACAAAGGAGAAGAAAAAAATCGGTAACAGACATGTAAAGTAGCTCTTTGTTTCGTTTACCAATAAATGAAAGTTCCTCGTGTTAGTTATGTCTAAGAAGCAACAGATTGTGATTGAAAACGTATCACACTGACAATCAGCTATATATCAATCTTTCAGACTCCCATGTACACTCTCGAATAAATTCTTCCATTCACGTAGAAAGATTTTCCAACATTCTACATGCTAATTTTTTTATCAAGAAACGTATTACAAGAAAGTTATGCAGAATTTATGTTTCTTTCAAACGCTTTTTCGAATCATCAAGTAAACTTTGAGGAACTAGTCTCGTTTATTGAGGTTCTCTCCCTACCATACGACACTTCAAAACAGAGAGTTGAGAGACTCACGATTATATCCAGTGATAGTATCGCCAGTTGAGTTTCCACCATTGCCCATACTTGTTTTCAGCCGACATTGTTGACTTGATACCGAATATGTAAAAGCACTACACCCATAAATTGCTTGACATGTTGAGCAACAGCTAGCATAATCGGGTTGTTGAATAGAAGAAGATAATATGTCATTACCAGGTATGTTCCAC